CGATTTATCTCCGTAAATATGGCTCTAATCGCGAAAAGACGGGTGTTCAGATGCTCGAAATTTTCATACTCAGATTTCCCAGTACAAAATATTCCAAAAACCTTTATTTATTGGCTGGTGCGCCTACCAAAACTTTAAATCGATTTATCTCCGTAAATATGGCTCTAATCGCGAAAAGAGGGGTGTTCAGATGCTCGAAATTTTCATACTCAGATTTCCTAGTATAAAATATTCCAAAAACCTTTATTTATTGGCTGGTGCGCCTACCAAAACTTTAAATCGATTTATCTCCGTAAATATGGCTCTAATCGCGAAAAGAGGGGTGTTCAGATGCTCGAAATTTTCATACTCAGATTTCCCAGTACAAAATATTCCAAAAACCTTTATTTATTGGCTGGTGCGCCTACCAAAACTTTAAATCGATTTATCTCCGTAAATATGGCTCTAATCGCGAAAAGAGGGGTGTTCAGATGCTCGAAATTTTCATACCCAGATATCCCAGTATAAAATATTCCAAAAACCTTTATTTATTGGCTGGTGCGCCTACCAAAACTTTAAATCGATTTATCTCCGTAAATATGGCTCTAATCGCGAAAAGAGGGGTGTTCAGATGCTCGAAATTTTCATACTCAGATTTCCTAGTATAAAATATTTCAAAAACCTTTATTTATTGGCTGGTGCGCCTACCAAAACTTTAAATCGATTTATCTCCGTAAATATGGCTCTAATCGCGAAAAGAGGGGTGTTCAGATGCTCGAAATTTTCATACCCAGATATCCCAGTATAAAATATTCCAAAAACCTTTATTTATTGGCTGGTGCGCCTACCAAAACTTTAAATCGATTTATCTCCGTAAATATGGCTCTAATCGCGAAAAGAGGGGTGTTCAGATGCTCGAAATTTTCATACTCAGATTTCCCAGTACAAAATATTCCAAAAACCTTTATTTATTGGCTGGTGCGCCTACCAAAACTTTAAATCGATTTATCTCCGTAAATATGGCTCTAATCGCGAAAAGAGGGGTGTTCAGATGCTCGAAATTTTCATACCCAGATATCCCAGTATAAAATATTCCAAAAACCTTTATTTATTGGCTGGTGCGCCTACCAAAACTTTAAATCGATTTATCTCCGTAAATATGGCTCTAATCGCGAAAAGAGGGGTGTTCAGATGCTCGAAATTTTCATACTCAGATTTCCTAGTATAAAATATTTCAAAAACCTTTATTTATTGGCTGGTGCGCCTACCAAAACTTTAAATCGATTTATCTCCGTAAATATGGCTCTAATCGCGAAAAGAGGGGTGTTCAGATGCTCGAAATTTTCATACCCAGATATCCCAGTATAAAATATTCCAAAAACCTTTATTTATTGGCTGGTGCGCCTACCAAAACTTTAAATCGATTTATCTCCGTAAATATGGCTCTAATCGCGAAAAGAGGGGTGTTCAGATGCTCGAAATTTTCATACTCAGATTTCCCAGTACAAAATATTCCAAAAACCTTTATTTATTGGCTGGTGCGCCTACCAAAACTTTAAATCGATTTATCTCCGTAAATATGGCTCTAATCGCGAAAAGAGGGGTGTTCAGATGCTCGAAATTTTCATACCCAGATTTCCCAGTATAAAATATTCCAAAAACCTTAATTTTTCGGCTGGTGCGCCTACCAAAACTTTAAATCGATTTATCTCCGTAAATATGGCTCTAATCGCGAAAAGAGAGGTGTTCAGATGCTCGAAATTTTCATACCCAGATTTCCCAGTATAAAATATTCCAAAAACCTTAATTTATCGGCTGGTGCGCCTACCAAAACTTAAAATCGATTTATCTCCGTAAATATGGCTCTAATCGCGAAAAGAGGGGTGTTCAGATGTTCGAAATTTTCATACCCAGATTTCCCAGTATAAAATATTCCAAAATCCTATATTAATCGGCTGGTGCGCCTACCAAAACTTTAAATCGATTTATCTCCGTAAATATGGCTCTAATCGCGAAAAGAGGGGTGTTCAGATGCTCGAAATTTTCATACCCAGATATCCCAGTATAAAATATTCCAAAAAACTTTATTTATCGGCTGGTGCGCCTACCAAAACTTTAAATCGATTTATCTCCGTAAATATGGCTCTAATCGCGAAAAGAGGGGTGTTCAGATGCTCGAAATTTTCATACCCAGATATCCCACTATAAAATATTCCAAAAACCTTAATTTATCGGCTGGTGCGCCTACCAAAACTTTAAATCGATTTATCTCCGTAAATATGGCTCTAATCGCGAAAAGAGGGGTGTTGAGATGCTCGAAATTTTCATACCCAGATTTCCTAGTATAAAATATTCCAAAAACCTTTATTTATTGGCTGGTGCGCCTACCAAAACTTTAAATCGATTTATCTCCGTAAATATGGCTCTAATCGCGAAAAGAGGGGTGTTGAGATGCTCGAAATTTTCATACCCAGATTTCCTAGTATAAAATATTCCAAAAACCTTTATTTATTGGCTGGTGCGCCTACCAAAACTTTAAATCGATTTATCTCCGTAAATATGGCTCTAATCGCGAAAAGAGGGGTGTTCAGATGCTCGAAATTTTCATACCCAGATTTTCCAGTATAAAATATTCCAAAATCCTATATTTATCGGCTGGTGGGCCTACCAAAACTTTAAATCGATTTATCTCCGTAAATATGGCTCTAATCGCGAAAAGGGGGGTGTTCAGATGCTCGAAATTTTCATACCCAGATTTCCCAGTATAAAATATTCCAAAAACCTTAATTTATCGGCTGGTGCGCCTACCAAAACTTTAAATCGATTTATCTCCGTAAATATGGCTCTAATCGCGAAAAGAGGGGTGTTGAGATGCTCGAAATTTTCATACCCAGATTTCCTAGTATAAAATATTCCAAAAACCTTTATTTATTGGCTGGTGCGCCTACCAAAACTTTAAATCGATTTATCTCCGTAAATATGGCTCTAATCGCGAAAAGAGGGGTGTTGAGATGCTCGAAATTTTCATACCCAGATTTCCTAGTATAAAATATTCCAAAAACCTTTATTTATTGGCTGGTGCGCCTACCAAAACTTTAAATCGATTTATCTCCGTAAATATGGCTCTAATCGCGAAAAGAGGGGTGTTCAGATGCTCGAAATTTTCATACTCAGATTTCCTAGTATAAAATATTCCAAAAACCTTTATTTATTGGCTGGTGCGCCTACCAAAACTTTAAATCGATTTATCTCCGTAAATATGGCTCTAATCGCGAAAAGAAGGGTGTTCAGATGCTCGAAATTTTCATACCCAGATTTCCTAGTATAAAATATTCCAAAAACCTTTATTTATTGGCTGGTGCACCTACCAAAACTTTAAATCGATTTATCTCCGTAAATATGGCTCTAATCGCGAAAAGAGGGGTGTTCAGATGCTCGAAATTTTCATACCCAGATTTCCCAGTATAAAATATTCCAAAAACTTTAAATCGATTTATCTCCGTAAATATGGCTCTAATCGCGAAAAGAGGGGTGTTGAGATGCTCGAAATTTTCATACCCAGATTTCCTAGTATAAAATATTCCAAAAACCTTTATTTATTGGCTGGTGCGCCTACCAAAACTTTAAATCGATTTATCTCCGTAAATATGGCTCTAATCGCGAAAAGAGGGGTGTTGAGATGCTCGAAATTTTCATACCCAGATTTCCTAGTATAAAATATTCCAAAAACCTTTATTTATTGGCTGGTGCGCCTACCAAAACTTTAAATCGATTTATCTCCGTAAATATGGCTCTAATCGCGAAAAGAGGGGTGTTCAGATGCTCGCCCTGGAACCGACTCAGGCACCAAGCGACCCTTATGACAGAAGAATGGCAGCTGAATCAGTCGGGAAAATCAATTTGGAGCACTTAATTTGTAACATGACGTGTTTGTTTACGTTGCATGATTACCGTCAAACATGATTGGAGGCAGGAGACGGTAAAAAAGGTTATTTCGGAGTGTATAGTATATTAGGACGACCCCCCGCGGATTAAAACAAGCGCAGTTTTTTTTTGTATATTTTTAATTATACATATATGTATATATATATTTTTTGTTGTTCTTGCTATTGACAAATTATGTTTAACCTATTTATAATCACATATATTTATATATTATATAATTCATTTTGTTTTTTTTTTAATAATAGTTATTAAATAGTTAATAGTATTTCTTTTGTTTATACTCGATTCATGTGTGTGTGTGTGTGTGTAATTTACTTGTTTCCTTCCCGCTCTGCTGCTTCTGCGGTCGGGTGCTACTTACTTGTTGTCTCTCCTTCAACACTGGAAGAGCGGAGAGCGAGGAGATTTCCCTTGTTCTTCTTTCTACGTCTTCTTCTTCTTATTCTTCTTCTTCTTCTGTAAGTGGGTGTAAGTGTAAGTTTTTACCTTGTTTTGTTTTGTTTTTTCCTTCTTTTCATCTTCGTCTACTTCTTCTTCTTCTTCTAGGAGAGAGAGAGTGAGTGAGTATAAACCTCGTCCCCGCTCTCGTTTTTTGTTTTGTTTTGTTTGTTGCTGCGTTCCTATATGCGTTTCTCGTTATTCGCCTAGTGATTGATTTACTTTGTTTGTTTGTTTGGTTTTTGTTTTGTTTTTTTTTTTGTTAAACCCCCCTTCACTTCGCGGTTGGTTTGGGTTGTGTTGTTACGGGTTTTGCTTGTCTATTAGAGTGTTTTTTGTTTTTACATTTTGATTTGTTTTCATTTGTTTAAATTCTTACTTCTTGCGAACCCATTGCTGGGTGGCTGTTCTGTAGATTGGATTTACAACAACGACTTTGTTTTGTTTGGCTTGGAACGAACCCCCCCCCCTCCGCGCAGTGTTGTTTCTCATGGGAGGGGGGATTTCAGTTCAGTAGAGCGCTTGTGTGAGGAATTGTTGTTTTTGAAAATGCAATAATGTCATGCGAGTCCTTGCTTGGTTTTGCATTGTCTATTTGCCTCCACAAGAGAGCGCTTCCGAGTTCATTTGTGTTGTTGTTGCCGTCAGAATTCGGTCTCCCTCGTTCAGTTTTTTGTTTTGTTTTGTTTTGATCATTTAGTATAGTCCGATTTTTGTTTTCGTTTAAGGTGGGACTGATAGTGAGGGAGCGCAATTTTTTGCTTTTTTGTTTGTTTGTTTGTTTCGTCTTCCTCTTTCGGGTTGTGATCCGGCGCATGCGCGAACGTCACCGCTGGCCGTTTGACGTTTCGCATCGACTGGCACGACGCGGTTCGTGTTCGTTCTGGATCGTAGATGGCGGCGCTTCGTTGTCTGTCGGGGTCGGTTGACCGATTTGCGGAAATCGACGCGCGGTTCGACAGGACGCCATTTTTTTTCTCTCTCTATTCTGTTTGTTGGTATATTAGTTTCTCTTTCAGCACGACACCGTTTAGAAGAGTTCTAATGCTTTTGTTTTTGGTTTTCTTTAATTATTCATACGAAAAAATATGGTTTTAATTAAATTTTTAATTATATCTGTTATATTTATATGCTTTTTCGACACTACATCAACTCTATTTTGAGATTTTTATTTAAATTTATTTTCTTTTAAAAGATATACTGTAATATATTATGGTCATTGTTTATTTTCTTTACCTTTCCTTTTTAATTACATCATAATTATAATAATAGTTTTTTCCGCTATTATTACTATTGTGTAGGTATGCGTGTGAGTGTGTGTGTGAGGATGTGTGTATGTGTGGGTGTTGTCGTATGTTTGTCTCTTTGTTTTGATGGGACTTTCGAATGAACTGAAGAGCATAAGTGAATTGGTTCGTTTGGTTTTGCCTAGAAAACCGAACATGTATGCTATATACTAACTTAGAATACCGGAACGGAATCGTTCTGAACTAACCTAGGGCTTAACGAACCTCGTACTTTCGCTTCCAACTGATACACTGGGAGGAGAGGAGTATATGTGTGTATAAATATGTAAATGACTTTATGCTACAAACGATAGCGTCACTATCCAGAAAAGTGTATGTGATACTAGATTTAAAGTGAGTCTGCGTCCGTCACCCAGGTGGTCACCGACCGGCAGGCGTTTCCCGCACTATTTAGGTGGTAAATGCGTGTCGCAAGGTCATCGACCCAATGTGACGTAAAGTGACGATCATGGCCATGGCCGGCCGGTTCCCACGGCAACCGGAATATTGAGGGACGCAACTCGGTTCTGAACCTCCGGAATTGCAAAGCTAGTAACACTGAGCCCCTACAGGTTTCTGGATAGCGAGGAGTCACGTTGTATGGTGCCCGTCGCGTTTGCGGTCGTTCTATTCCGGACCAGTGGGAGGCAACGCGACGAATCGGGAAAACAAGGTTCGAACAATCAAGGTGAAACTAAGGGCCGTCGTCGTCGACGACGACATACCTAGAACCAAGGTGGCTGGAAAGGTGAGTCTAGATGCCTATGGGATTGGCCTCGAGGGTTGTCTACCCGGATGACTTTGCTCTGCTGCTTGTGTGAGTGTGTGTGTGTGAATTTATTTCGACTTATCGCGTGGAAAGACTCGCGACGACCTAGAGATGAAAGGGTTCGTGTGTTGTATGAGTGTGCCTACTAACCCCTCGAAGGCGCGCACCTCTGGAAAGTAACAATGATCGCGTTTAGACTCACCCTTCGGGAGGGAGTTTCTTCGTATAAGCATACATTTCGTTTGTTTTTTTTTCTTCTTCTTCTTCGTCTCGCTTTCTCAACTGAATAACGCTGAGAACATTCTAGAAAACGCACCCATCTTTGTGTTGCTGTTGTTGTTGTTGTTGTTATTGATAACGTGATCCAATCATTCCTCGCTTGCGGTTAAATTTCAAATTTCTCGGGGTGAAATTTCGTCTCGTCTGTGTCTCTTCTTTTGAAAAACCTCGGTTGACCCCTTCGCATACCGTTTCCCGTATGCGAATCCGTGCGTTAACTAAACATTCCCAAGAAACGGTTATTCGAGGCTGCTGCGGCTGCTAGGTGGATTGATCGCCAGCACCCATACTCGCGGGCGTTCGGATCGCACAGCACAGAGCAACCCGAACGTTCAGCCCCGGTTGCTCTGGTTGCTACTGTCAGCGAGCGCCCGTGCATGTGGGGGCGTGGGACGTGTCGGTTGCAGCGCTTTCGCAGCCTACTGTGTTTTCGTGTCCTTCCGACTCAGGTCAGGTAATGAGTTTTTGTTTTTTGTTGTTGTTGTTGTTGTTGTTGTTGCGGATGCAGATTGTTTGTTTTTTTTTTTCCTATGGCTTTTTGGTGGAGGTTGAGCGCTGACCGCGCTTTCAGTGTTTTTGGTTGGTTTTGTTGTTGCTGCGAGCGTGTTTATGTGAGTGTGAGTGCGGTTGAAGTTTCCGTGAGTTTCGTGATTCGTCATATTCGGGATGTTTCGGTTTTTTTGTTTTCCTTACTTACGATTTACTTTTGTTTGTTTTTTTTTTTTGGCAAGTGTAATTTCCCTTGTATTCGTGACTAAGATTGGGTGTTTTTGTTTGTTTTGTTAGTATTTAATAGTGTTTTTTTTTTAATGTAGTTTGGTAAAATACCATACAGAACGTAATTGTTTAAATTACAATTTACGGCTATTAATTGTGTGTGTTTCCACTTGCTAAACGTACTCAACACGTTTGGTTTACCATTGTTTTGTGTTTTGTTTTGTGTACTTTCTCCCGCCGTATTTGCGACTGCGAATCGGACACCTGGAGAAAGATAGAACTAAACGTTAAATTATATCGTTTTGGTTTACCGTTCACGGCTTGTGTCGGCGTTTACTCCATCGTAAAACGCTTCAAAATATACCGTCTTCTAACTGTGTATGTGTGTGTGTGTGTGTTTGTATGTGCTTTGATCAAAGTTCCTTTGATTTTTCTCACCCTTTTCGTCTCCGTTTCCTTTCTTACATAAGCGTATTTATGTTTTTGTTTGTTTACACTTGAACAAGATTCGCTTTTCTGTTCGCTTTCTCGCGTGCTTAATACGTGTATGTTTGTGTCAGTGTGTGAGTGTGTGTTGATTTCAATATAATGACTTGTTTTTATTCTTTGCTTCATTTCACCGTTTGTCGTCCGATCTTCTCTCGGACGCTTGCGCGCGCGAACATTGTATAGAAAAAGAATAGAAATAAAATTCATAGTAAATATAGTCAACAACTTTCCGTATAAATATTTGTTTTTGTTCTTTGTGTTTGTCTCCAGAAGAAATTTGCGCACACACATTGGTAGACTTTTTCTCTTTGCGCGTAAATTAAATCGATCTAAAAAACAGTGTGCATGTACTTGCTTTGTTTACCTCCGCGCTTTACATGCGAATGTATTTGCATTTGTATTTGTTGTTGTTTGTGTGTGTATGTTTTCCTTTTTTTTTCTTCGCTTCGTGTTTGTAGGTAGAATGTTTATGTTCGTTTCGGGAAGAAAAAAAAAATGCAAAAAAATAGACAATAAATTCGATTTTGGTTGCTTTGTTTTCGCTTGTTTAAACAATAGTACCTTCAGCTGACAGCAGCTGTCAAAAAACAACAATTTCACCTTCAAAAATATGCATCTTCGTGTATTGTTAGTTTTTTTCCCCTCTGCTTCCCTTTCCCTCTTGTTTCAAATGCAATACTGAACGCAGATCAGTTTCTTCGTTTTTACTTCTGCTGCTGCATTGTTTGTTTTTGTTTTGTTCTCTTCCATGCTAGTTTTTTGTTTGTTCGTTTGTTAATAACCTAAGAGCCATTAATTTAACGTTCTTTGCGCGTTTGTTTACCTGTTGTTTGAGACATGATCGGGATTTGCGGGTTTCATCATGTTTCGTTTTGGTTTTTTGTTTTGTTTTTGGCAAAAATCATTGTTCCCATGGGGTTGGTTTGTTTGTTTATGGCTAATGCTCGGTTAACAATTTCCTTTGCCTTTCCTTTGCCTGCCTGTTTGGAGTTTTGGAGGGGTGTCGTGACGAGCGGACGAGTCGTCGCGCTTCCTCACCTTTTACATTTACACACACACTGAGCTGCTAGGGTTGCTGCTACACAAAGGTTCTCTAGTGTGTCAGACGGTGTAACTTTGTGTTTGTTTGTTTGTTTGTTTGTTTGTTTACTGACGCTATTTTAACATTGTACAATTGAGTGTTGTGTGTATGTGTATGTGTGGTGGGCTGTTTGCCTCATTATAAAGAGATGATCGCTTTTGTTCGCATGTGTGTGTGTGTTTTTTTTAGTGAGCGTGTGCACTATTGCTCCATCGAAGAAATGGCCCTACTAAGTTTCTCGAAAAAAGTTGCTACCACATGTACACTGGGGTGGGCTGAAGTGAAATGTTTATGTTTTTGTTTACCTTCCTCTCTAGAGTATTTACGACTTGTGGATTGTTTTGCTTGCGGGATTGACTTTTTACAAATGTGCTGCGCGCTGATGGCGTCGTCAGTCAGTGTTGCCAGCAGCGCGTGCTTTGTTTTGGATTGACATGCCGCTGCCAAGATGGCGGGTGTGTGTGTGTGTGTATGTGTGTGATTTATTTTAGCGAGCAGCGCCGATTTGATTTCCTACGAAGCATCCTCGGTTGATTGGCTGTCTGTGGTGGTGTTGGTGGTGGCGGTTGTTGCGGCGTCGGCCGCCGCTGCTGCTTTTGTAGTGATAATTGCCATTGTGGTAGTGGTAGTATCAACAAACGACGAAGCACGTTAAATTAATCGCTCGTTATACCAAATTCAGAAGTCGGTATTGTTCGAGTCGACTTCCTCCGGCTCCTGGGGAGCGGCCAGTGTCATCTGTATCCCCGATGGGCCCATCACCTGCATCGTCGGTTCGGTGTTTCGTCGCTTCATTTTGCCCTTCATTTTTTTCAACATGGTCGCCTGTACCGTCCGGTCCGCGGAAAATGATTTGTTTTCATTGTTTGTTTGTTTTGGTTTCATTTTAAGGGTAACAGTGTAGGTGAGGTGAGTTGATTTTTAAGATTTTTATTTTCGTGTGCATGAGCGTATAAAGGTGCAATAGTAAACAACAAACGATTGCATTTGTTTTGATTGTTGAGTTTCGAAGGGGATTTATTTGGTTGGTTTTCGTTGCGAGTTCGTTATATATTTTTTTTTTGTATTGTAGTTGAATGTATTTTGTTTGCAAATGTGTGTTGGCAACCGAATGAACGTCACACGGAGGTGGTGTTTGTCCAAGAAAAAGAGAAAGAAAAGAAACAAACCGCATCGGTAATGAAAATGGTACTGTTTTTTTTTTGTCGATTTACTCAAATTTTGCTTTTTCTGTTTTTGCGTGTAACAATGACTGTCATTAGCATCGAACGAATCCAAAAGAAGAAAAAAAAAATGAAAGAATGAAGAGAAAGAGTAACAACTGCCAGCGAACGAAAAACGGAAAAACAAGACCTTGTTTCAATCAACGCCAAGGAGCGACTGTGTGGTAGTATTAGTAGTAGTAGTTATAGTAGTAGTAGCAGCGTAAAACAACATTCCGTTAGAGATAGAAAATGAAAGAAATAACACGGTAGGCGACATTCCTTTAATAATAAATAGGTGTTGAAAAATAAAAACCAAATCCAAAACCAATCGAATCGAACGGAACAATGTCGGTGTAAATGCAAAGTCACGGCCGATCTATTCCGCGAAACACTAAACTAAAAAGCCTTTTTATGATTTTCTAATCGTTTTGCATTGGCATCTCCAAGTAGGCCTGGGCTTTTTTTTTTCTCTAGAGAGCAGCAATCAAAGTAACCGAAAACCGCAAAAAACATAAACAAACGCGTTGCCTACTACGTTGCAACAGCAAAACTTAGCTCACGCCGAACAAATATACAGAGAGACTAGGAGTTTTGCTAATTCGAGATATATATATGTGTTGGTTATAGTTTTTTTTTAATTTAGTTTAAATAACGATATACAATAGTAGTAACGAACGAGAGATTATATATTTTACCTCTAAATAAATGGTTAGTTCAATAGCTAGCTCTGAGTTATAGATATAACAATTCGAAAGGTACGGAAATACTATAATTAGCAAATATATAATATATATGAATATGTAGTCGTACAATAAACAAATTAGTAAAAAAGATCAAAAAACAATAGAATATAGACGAACGAGAGATAGTGAAAGAGAGTTATCATAAGATCAAAGAGAGAGAGAGAGAGAGAGAGGGCGTTGTGTTTTTGGTTTGGTGTGGCTAGTGATGAAGGTGGATCGTTCGGGTAGGTGTTTAAATGTATATATATGTGTGTGTGTGTGTGTGTGTGCACTCATTCGATATTTGAGAGGGTATTAGTGTTTGTTTGTTTGTTTTCATTTGGAATTGGACAACAGTTACAACCATAACAGATGCAGTGTGTTAGATTCTTTTTCAGCTAGAGAGTGAGAGTGGGAATATTGAGTGAGAGACTCGAATTCTCCTTAAATCAAAACTGTATAGGACCCAAACTAAGCTTAAACACCTCCTCCTTCGTCTGCCTGTTTTGGAACTAGTTCGGATACCGTGATCGGCGCAGTCCGGAAACCGAAAAAGCAAATATTTTCCATTTTTCTGTATTTCTTTGGACTGTAGTTGGTGGAACTACTGTGCTCTCGCTTCTTCGCTCGATAGTTGAAACGGGTAGTTTTTAGTCTGTGTGCTCTAGTAGTAGTAGTAGTAAGTGTGTGCTATCACGATACTCGAAGGTCCGGATCGCTTTGAGATTGATCAGTTAGATTTGGTTTATTGTTGTTGTTGTTGTTTATTTTGTTGTTGTTGTTGTTGGTTACAGAAAGCAGGAAAACAGAAAACTAGGACCGGACGGACGGGTATTCTATGCTCCGCTCAAGGCGTCTCGATCGCGGTCTCCATTTTCTGGAGCACCACCCTGCGAGAATCCCGATACGGCCGGTGAGATATGCGGCTCAGTGAGTCTCCGTTTGCTCTTGATCTTCTTCAGCATCGTGGCCTAAGAAAACAAGTGGTAGTTGGAGGTATTGGTGTTTTGGTTCTAACAGGGTTTTTTTCGGGGCAATCGCATGGTTTCGAACACAGTCAGTTTGGGGTGGTGGTGATGGTGGTGGAGAAACTCAAAAAATAAAACATGAGGCATAGATTCAGTTCCGTCTGGTGCTGCCTTGTCGGAAACTATTCACAGAACTCAAAAAAAAACATCTAACCGTTGTGGAACTCGAAATAGTTTTGAATAATTTATCGCTTTCGAAACAATGTTCTAATCAACCGTTTCTTTTTCAGATGATCCCGGGAGTGCTGACCTATAGCGTAGCAAACGGAACCAACCTTTCAGAAACGATAAGGTACATCACATTACATTAATCTATTTTGAACAAATTGTTGCATGTTTTGAATCTCCATTGCAGGTAAGTTTTTTTTGGCAACACTGCCGTGAACGTCAAGAATTGATGAAAGCTGCGTATGGCTACAACCTCAGGAACGATCGGGTTTTGACGTAGGACTACGTCTTTGATTTCTATATGGGGGTACACTTTGTGAAAACCGAAAATGGAACATGAAACAAATTAAGAAAGATTTTGAACGTTAATAACTCAGCTGCCCCTAGTCCAATTTCAATAATTTTATCACCAATCGATCAGAAATATGGCTACGCATCGATAACAATGCTTTCGAATGTTGATTTTCAACAAGAAACTATTGAAAAACTGGTAAATGTCCAGCATTATCCAATAGCGTCGAATTAACTAACAAATCCACCAATTACCTACATGCATATGCTGCTTCCCCAGCACAGTCGTCAGAGAGTAGTAAGTAGACGAAACAAGTCGAAGTGGCATTCGCCTCCGATCCTCGGGAGCGTGCGAATAGGAAGGATGGAATTGCGTAATATTTTGCACACTCATCGCCATATTCAGAACCAAACGCAAATTCTTCGAGATAACTACCATCCGTCGTCTGGCTCGCCGTGGCGGTGTCTGACGTATTTCCGGTCTGATTTACGAGGTGTGCTCAAGGTGCTCCTGAAAAATGAGATCCGTGATGCTGTCACCTACACTAAGCCCGCCAAGCGTTTTGAAGTGACAAAGACGCACTCTATTTGGTTTCGGAGGTTAAATCATCACCAACTTTGGCAACAAAATGGCTCTTTTCAGGGCCGGCCACCAACCTTATTACAGTAAAGAGTGGCAATAGAATTCATCTGCCTGTTTGTCCATATTCAGAACCAACGACCACACAAAATGCTCATGTAATCAAACTGGAACCAGGGGTACAAATTATTTTGATCAACCTTGATCAACTTTGAATCGCCACGGCCGGATATTTTCGATGGAAGAAGCAACAATCTAGCATCTAATTCGACGAAGACGGCAGGAAACATTTGTGAAGACGAGTTATTTACGAAAGAGAGTGTCGATGGAGAGAATCGATCAATGTAGATAGGACCTATTGAAAAGTGACGCGAGATTTGTTTTCCGTACTGAGCTCCAATGCTACCGACGCCAGGAAGGCAGCTCCCACACCTGGACCCTACCAATCGACCCATCAGCTCAACCGGGGACCAACGGCTTTACTTCCCGAAGGAAGGCGTGATCAGAGATGTTATGCCTTAGAACATGCCGGTGGCGCCGACTGAGATTGGACCCAGGCCTGCTGGGGTGAGAGGTAATCACGCTAACCACCGGCGCCGATATCTTTCAAGGTGATATCACGGTGAATGAGAACGACCCAAATTTGAGTTTAGTTATCTCAGAAATAAGAAACAAAGTGCAGGAACTCAGCGATGAGACAATTTGTCTCATGTTTTCCCAGGTTTTTCTAGGATTTTCCAGGAAAAAATTTCCGAATTTGAGAAAAGTAAAGATTGGATTCACTCAGTCTATTGGTTCTACTCCGAGACTGAATAAAATTGTCGTCAATTTCCTCATTTTCTGGCAGCCCAAGCAGCACACTTCGATAGAAATAAGCTGCTGCAGCTTGATTTTGACTGGAATAAGTGGCACACAAGTAACCACAATTGTTCAGTGACATGTGTGCTGCTAGGGAGATTTTTTAGGTTTTCCACAGAAAACCATGAGACACATTTACTCATCGCTGAGTTCCTGCACTTTTGGCGATTATGAGTGAACTAAACTCAAATTTGGGTCGTTCTCATTCGTCGTGTACGCAAAAGGAAAAGAGCCAGTGTCGCTACTTGATAGCAAACTACTCATAATGGGAGGAGTCTTTGTAGCTTTTATACCACTTGGTTGCACATCATTCTGCTTTAACCTGAAAAGATATAAAAGAGCGCTGCAGTGTGGCATTAGCTCATTTTCGCTTCGGACGGCGTGGTGAACAGCAATAGCAGCAGTAGGAAGGTGGTGGCTAATCCACTCCTTCACACCTAACAAGCAACAATTGACTGGTCGTGGCAAAGGAGGAAAAGGTCTGGTAAAGGAGGCGCCAAGCATCATCGCAAAGTTCTTCGACATAACCACCATCGGTCGTCTGGCTCACCATGGTGGTGTCAAACGTATCTCCGATCTGATCTACGAGGTGTGCTGAAGGTGTTCCTGGAAAATGAGGTCCGTGATGCTGTCATCTACACTAAACACGCCAAGCGTAAGTGGCCATGGATGTCCTCTTCAATAAAACGGCCCTTTTCAGGGCCATCAAGCTTACATCAGTAAAGAGTTGGAATAGAATTTATCTGTGCTTGTTTGTCCATATTCAGAACCACAAGCCCCCAACGACCACACAAAATGCTCTCCAGAGTTGTAATCTTGTGACCAAACTTGGAAGCAGGGGTGCAAGTGATTTTGATTGATTCTCTTAATCAACTTTCTCTTTGAAAAAGATTTCTACAAATTTGGTACGCCTACAATTCAAAAACGGAAAGAGTTGAGATAATAGATAATTGATCAATTAAAAGAACTAAAT